GAACCCATTTCTGAATTGAGATGCCAGCATTCCAAGTCCACTGCAGCACAACACCTTTGATGAACTTCAGCAGCCCAGATACGTTCTAATTGGCAGGTTTTATTTCATTAGGCTAACATAGCAGTATCCTGGCACTGCCATGTTTAGTTTCAAGATTACTTCTTTTGAGTTCTAGGGTAGTATTTGGAAGAAGTGATTGTTTCTCACTGTTAGTGCAATAATTTGGAAACGTATTTAAAGTGGAGGTGGGAGTAACATCAAGTGACCCTTTAAGTTTTCATACCAAGAGGACAGGGACTGTACTCCAGCGCTTGGGCTAGAACTTGATGTTGTGTCTAGCCCAAGTCTCTGTGAATACAGTGTGAGAACTCATGCCTTAGTCTGTGGACTAGTCTTCTCAGGACGTGGTCCAATTCTTGAACAACCTTGGCTGACCGTAGGTGTGGTGGTGGGAAGAAAATGGTTCGCTTGTGGGTTATTTACTAGACTGTGGAAGGTTGGACTGTCATTTAAAGCAAACAAACAGAAATTTTGGTGTTCTGTGATGGAAACAGCATGGGTCCATCTCCTGAAAGGGACTCCTCATCATCTCCTCAAAAAATCTGGAATCGCCAGCTCCTAAAGCGCTTCTTTCATGAGTTGAGTATCCCTTGTCGCATTCGCATGACGACTTACTCATTGCCTAATGGATGCTTCATTAACTTGTTCAGTATCACTCATGGGAGGACTCCCCACAAAAGGGAGTATAGGAAGGCAGGTTTAATATGCACATGGTGACAACATACGGATGAAAGAAAGTCCAATGGCTGGCGCACAGTGCCTGGGGGCCCTTGGAAATCGGGTGTCATCTGGGGGCACCTAGCCCTGAGAGCATTGGGGAAGGATGTAAAAATCAGCCAGTTTCTCCCAAGCACCTCTTGCATGTATGTCCATGGAATATGTGCCTAGGAGCCCAAAGGAAAGGAAAGTAGGATGTGGCTTTTCACTCAAGGGAATTACTGCAAACAGTGCTCTGGAACCAAGTAATTACAGCACTGATGGAGTGTTCACTGTGTGTCAGGTATCAGTCTAGATGCTATGTATGTATCATTTCATGAACGCTTACAACAACTCTGCTAGGTAGGTGCTGTGACTTTGTTCATTTTACAGTTCAGGAAACTGAGGCACCGAGAGATCCAAAATCTGAGACTTCAGACCAGACATTCTGACTCCATAGTCCTTAAGCATTACGCTGTCCTGCCTCCCAGACAAACTTTATGTATTTCAGGGCATCTGGGGAAAGGTGAAAGAAAAATATTATAGTGTGTGCTTGGCAGAGCGGAGTCTGTCTGCACTGCCAGGTTTCTCCTGCCTCATAAGCTGAAGTCTTGTAAAATATGGAACGTACAGTGAATCATCTTGCTTCTTAGATATTTGGTCTAGGGTAGCTTGGAGGAGTCTTTTAACTCTAAACCTCCGTCTTTTAATCTGACCCTTAATATTTTCAGTTTGGAGTTAACTGAACCCAAGGGATTTTTTTGTTGTTGTTATTATTGTTTTGAAGTCTTAGCCAAGAAATATTTTCCCATTGGACTTGGTACCTGAAATGTGGATAGCTGAGCCATTATTTGGTGGCCTTTGAGCCCATTAGAGAACTCTAAATTGGCGGCGTTGATCTTTGAATGAAACTGGATATTAAAATAGCACCAAGCTGAAGACATAGTATACTTTAGTGTAATGTATACATTCAGAACCACCAAGAGTTGGGGAAAATGAAATGAGTTTCAGTTGGCTTCATTTGCTCATGAGTGACTTTCCTCTCAGTCTTTTTTGTGTTTTTTCTTTTTTAAGATTTATTGTATTTATTTGAAAGGCAGAGTTAGAGAAAGGGAGATCTTCCCTCTGCTAGTTCACTCCCTAAAAGGCCACAACAGCCAGGGCTGAAGCAGGCCAAAGACAGGAACCAGGAGCTTCATCTGGGTCTCCCACATGGGTGTAGAGGTCCAACCACTGACACCATCTTCTGTTTTTCCCAGACCATTAACAGGCAGCTGGATCAGAAGTAGAACTGCTGGGACTTGAACCAGCACCTTTATGGGATGCTAGCATCATGGTGGTAGCTTTACCTGCTATAAGACACTCACTCTTGGGTGATTCTTAACCTCTGTCTTCACCCATCAGGGATACAACAAAACATAAAATCTCTGATTGCCATTTGACAATTTTTCTTAATCATTTTATTTGAAAGAGACACAGAAAAATCTTCTATTTGCTGGTTCACTCCCCAAATAGCTGCAGAAGCCAGAGCTGGGCTAGGCCAAAGCCAGGAGCCTAGAACTCAATCCAGGTCTCCCATGTGGTGGCAGAAGCCCAACTACTTGAGGTATCACCTGGTACCTCCCATAGTGTGAATTAGCAGGAAGCCAGAATTGGAAGCAGAGCCAGGTCTGAGCCACTCCAGTCCTAGCTGAGCATCCCAGCTGGCGTGCTACCTGCTGCACCAAATGCCTTCCCCAATTCGGGGATGGTAGAAGCATTCAGAGCTTGATAAACAGCTGCATCGTCCTCAGTGCTCCTAGAAAACTCAGCCGCAAGGGCTGCTAATGAATTTCAATTCCTCAAAATCTGGATTCCACTCTGTTATCTTCTCAGTCGACTTCATCTTGGATGAATCGCATGTGACTGTCTTTGAGGCCTGACCTTGTGTTTGCAGGAGCCCTGCTGTCTGCTGACAGGTGGCCCATAGCTTTTCTTTACTGCCCTTTCTGCAGTGGCAGCTGACACTGAGTAATGACCAAAGCAGTTACATAGAAAGTATATCCCTGTGTTTATGGATTCAATCAGCAAGCATTTATGTTAAGCTTCCTATGTGCTAAGCAGACCCAGGACTGGGGCAAAAGTGAGAGCCAGGGCCAGCGCTGTGGCACAGTGGGTGAAGCCGCCACCTGCAGTGCCGGCATCCCATGTGGATCCTACATGGCTGCTCCACTTCTGATCCAGCTCTCTGCTGTGACCTGGGAAAGCAGTAGAAGATGGCCCAAGTCCTTGGGCCCCTGCACCTGTGTGAGAAACCCGGAAGAAGCTCCTGGCTCCGGATCGGCGCATCTTGGGAGTGAACTAGCCGAGGGAAGACCTCTCTTTCTCTCTCTGCCTCTCTGCAACTCTGCCTTTCAAATAAATAAATAAATGTTTTAAAAATGAAAAAAAAAAAAAAAGAAAAAGAAAGAATGAGAGCTTCCTTACGGTCTTTACTCCTGGTGTCCAGTTGCTCAAGTACTGCGCAGGATCCTGGGGTTGCAGAGTTGCTGTTGTCTCTAACTGTAGACTAAAGCATGCTGCATATTTTCCCCATTCTCCCTAGTTGACTACATCATGGTTCAAAACAAAAAAAAAAAACCTATCCCTTACATGTATAATTTCTTATAAAATAACTTAGATACTTTGCTAAAACCAATGTTCAAATACTCACACTCTCAGAATCAGCTGGCAGTATTTTATTTGTTTTTCTAAAGTTTTTATTTATTTATTTGAGAGGTAGAGTTACAGACAATGAGAGGTAGAGGAGACAGAGAGAAAGGTCTTCCATCTGATGGTTCACTCCCCAGATGGCCAATGGCTGAACCTGCCCCGATCTGAAGCCAGGAGCCAGGAGCTTCTTCTGGGTCTTCCATGTAGGTACAAGGGCCCAATGTCTTGGGCCATCTTCTGCTGCTTTCCCAGGCCATAGTAGAGAGCTGGATCAAAAGAGGAGCAGCCAGGACTAGAATTGGCACCCAAATGGGATGCCAGCACCGTAGGCAGAGCATTAACCTAGTACACTGGCCCCAGCTAGCAGTATTTTAAATGTTTTTATTTTTATTTTTGTTTTGTTTTTTACCATCTGGGTTAAGAAGGAAACTGCTTTTTTGCCTTAATAAAAAAAATAATACATATGCATGTACTTCAAAAATTTCGTTCCAAAATAAGCTTATCTTTTAGTTAACTTTCCACAAACTTTTTTTGAAGCACTCACCACATGGATTCAGGGTATGCATTTGACCTAGCAGTGAGGATGCCCACATCCGAGTGTCTGAGTTAAGTCCTGGCTCCTCTCCTTGCTACTGTGCGTCCTGGGAGGCAGCAGTGACAACGCAAGCAGTTGGGTTCCTGTCATCGGTGTGGGAGACCTGGATTGGATTTCTGACTGCAGCTTTGGCCTGACTCAACTCTAGCAGTTATGGGATTTAGGGCGTGAACCAACAGATGGGAGCTCTGTGTCTGTCTGTCTCTCTCCTGCTCTCTTCTCTGCTTCTCAGATAAACAGATAAATTTTAAAAAAAGGAAAATTTATGAGGCCCTCAAGTGAACTGCTATCTTACTACATTTAAAAGTACATACCTTAGGCCGGTGCCGCGGCTCACTAGGCTAATCCTCCGCCTTGCGGCGCCGACACACCGGGTTCTAGTCCCGGTCGGGGCGCCGGATTCTATCCCGGTTGCCCCTCTTCCAGTCCAGCTCTCTGCTGTGGCCCGGGAGTGCAGCGGAGGATGGCCCAAGTGCTTGGGCCCTGCACCCCATGGGAGACCAGGAGAAGCACCTGGCTCCTGGCTACGGATCCTGTGATGCGCCGGCTATTGGAGGGTGAACCATCGGCAAAGGAAGACCTTTCTCTCTGTCTGTCTCTCCCACTGTCCACTCTGCCTGTCAAAAAAAGAAAAAAGTACATACCTTGGATTACATTGTGCTCAGTAACGTTGTTACTTAGCTTAACTTTTTGGGGAATTAAAATGCACATTTCCATTGTGTTGATACTGAGGCGGGATACTGGATGCTTGAGATCATGTTTAATGGCTTTTGTTCCTTACCCAAACTTCCAAGGGAGCCTGATGCTTCTCCCCCTCTTATTTTTCTTTCTCATTTTGATGGGCCTCATTTGAATGGCTCTGTTTTTCAGTCAGCGAACATTTTAAGATGCAAATAATTCAGAAACAAGTTTCTATTATGTTCTAAAATATTCCTTCTTAATTTCTTCTTAATTACAGAGCAAAGAGATTGCATTCCAACTTCATGAGGATTTAATGAAGGTTCTTAATGAGCTTTATACGGTAAGCACATAATCGTTCTTCCTTTGCAAGAATTCTTGGTTCAGATTTCTGGTTTGTAAAAGACATGGCTCATTTTAGAAGTCATTTCAAGCTATAGTTGTGAGAGATGCTCGGCTCGTCTGGTTGAAATATGGTACCAAGGGAAGCAATGTGTATGCTGTATGTTTCTTTGCCACTCCCTCCCAACTTGGAGAGACTGTATTCAAGTAAATGCACATTGAATATGTGTGTGTGTCTCTCTGTATGTATGTGTATGTGTGTATCTCTGCATGTATCTCTGTATATATATGTGTGTATATCTCTGTATGTATGTGTGTATTTCTGTACATGTATGTGTATATGTGTGTATGTATGTATGTGTGTGTCTATGTGTGTGCATCTATATGTGTGTGTAAATGTATGTATGTATCTCTGTATGTGTGTGTATGTATATATGTGTGTGTAACTTGTATATATGTATGTGTGTGTGTGTTTATCTTGAAAGTCAGAATTAGAGAGAGATCTTCTATCTGCTATTTCACTCCCCAGATGGTCACAACAGCCAGCACTGGGCCAGGCCAAAGCCGGGAGCCAGGAGCTTTATCTGGGTGTCCCACATGGGTGTCAGGGCCCCAGACACTTGGGCCATTTTCTGCTGGTTTTCTCAGGCCATTAGCAGGGAGCTGGATCAGAAATGGAGCAGCCAGGCCATGAACTAGCGCCCATATGGGATGCTGGCATTGTAGGTGGTGGCTTTACCTGCTATACCACAACACTAGCCCTAATTTTCCCCTGTTTCAGTTCAATTAGTTGTTTGTTTGGTTAATGTCTTAATACATTAAAATTACTTTGAGAGGGTATCTATTTTCCTTCCCCTTGACAATTTGTGTTGTTTGACTTTCTATTTACAGTATATTGCATATAATTATAAGAAATTAAAGAATTCAAAAGTAGTTAGCTATTTAAAAACTGCAATCAATTATGTTGCAGGTTGAAATTAGGGATATGCCTATGTAAAAAACTTTTTTACACTTAATAATCATATTAATAAATACTAATTCCTGGGCCAGGTATTTGGTGCAGTGGTTACGTGGCCCCTCGGGATGCCTACACTGGATCCCAGCTCTCCTTCTGACTCTAGCTTCCTGCTAATGTGTACTCCGGGTGCAACAGTGATGGCTCCAGGAGCTAGGTCCCTGCCGTCCACAGGGGAGACCCAGATTTAATTCTGGCCTCCTGGCCTGCTCTCAGCTACTGGGGAGTGAACCAGCAGATAAAAGATGTCTATGTCTCTGTCTCTGTCTTTCAAATAAAATGAAAATAAATTCATTTGGAAGATGTTTAAGTTTTATTTTACAAGAGAATAAAATAGCATAATGAGATGTAAGTAGAACTGATTACTAATAATAGATACTTGCATTTTCATTGTACAAGATTATGTAAACTTTTCTTTACAGATAAATTAAACCTAGAATTTATTAAAATGTGTTTCTTGATTTACAGTTTTCATTTATTCCTAAAAAGCCATGCCTGTAAAGTACAATTTTGGGAATTAAAATTTTTATGCTCCATTGACAGTTGCTAAAGGAATCCATAAATTAAACTTTCATAAAATGAGTGATTTTTTATAAAAAGAATTTCCAGTTTTGGGGTATGAATGTGATGGATGTATTTTTATGCAGCATATTTGCTGTATTTGTGCTGACGACTGAGTTGATGGTTCCTGTGTGTTGGTTTCTCCTTCAGAAATATTTAATTTTATATACAACTTGCAAATGCCTCATGCTATCAGGTTATACCCCCACGCCACATACCTAATGAAGCTGAGCTTTAGATGATAAAGGCCAGTTCCTAGCCTGTGTTTTATGTGATGTGTTAATTTCTGACAACCTAAAGTATCATCAGCCATTCCTAGAAGTCGTATACCTTAACAGTAAATGAGCATTGTGCCTCTGAGACTGCCACAGAATCAGCAGAAATTCTGTGTTCTCTCTGCTTGATCTGTTTTAAGATGAAGACTTTGTGGCAGTTTGCTTGTGGTTCCTTCTGCTTGGGCATTGTTTTACTTAGAAATGTAAATCAACCCCTAATACCTGAGAAAGTCAGTCTTGAAGTTGTCACAGCATTGTCACAACAGCCTGTTTTTCTAGTACAGAACTAATAGTATTAGTTAAAGCAACAGTGACAGAGATGAGCTTTACCACTGAATACAAGAAAAGTCATGAATATTTTGTATCATGAGGGCCATGTGTGGGAAATTTCTCTGAGACTTCATCTATTAATGGGACTTGAACATTCAGCAGATGTAGAGTTGAATCAAGGAAGCTGACACCTCCTCAAAACTTACAGGTCCCCAAAGGACCCAAGTTCCAGAAACTGCTACCAGAGTTTGGGTGACCCCCTCAGGGTCATTTAACCTCTCGAATCATTTGAGAAATAATTAAGGAGTAGAGGAGACAGGCAACGAGGTTTTAATTTTTACTTTAGCCAGAAAGGATGTTCACCTGAAGCTGTGGTCATGCTACATGGGGAAAGAACTCCATCTTTCTCTCTCTGTCTCTCTCTGTCTCTCTGTCTCTCTGTCTCTCTGTTTCTCTCTCCCTCTCTCTCTTTCTCACACACAAACACACATCCTCTCATATTCGCTGTCTCCCCCTCCCTCTCCCATCTTTGTCAAAAAGAAGCTGCTTGATCTTATTTGCCCTGTACATTCAGATACAATTCAGATTTCTGTATTATTCAAATAAATATATCCATTGTACTTTTAGGGAAGAGTAAAGATGAGGTACATTTGAACTGTGCACCAGGAGCTGGAGAAGTATGGTTTATGGTTCCTCATTCAACCACTATGTTATTTGGAACAAATAACCATCTAGTTGCATCATTTATAGATTTTTGTACAAGTGGTGATGTAATAATGATTCCTGAAGTAGCAAGAATAAAATATGTAGCCTTAGGGAATTGAGGGTGCTGTTTAATTGCCCGTGACAAATACTTGCTGTCAACCCTTGAAACTCCTTAGGAGTTTAAGAAGTATATTAACTTCCTTATACCAGTGGAGTACTCTACCTTAAATTACAGTCCGCCTTAGAGGTGGGTGACCACCTGTGTGTGAACTTCTTTGCCCATGACTGTTGCTCCCAGAGCAATTTTTGATTATTCCAAAAATCCCATCAGAAGGCCTTGGCTCAAATGAAGGAGAACAGAAGGTGATGCCTGGGTTCACTTGTGCCTTAGAGTGTGCTGCGTTTCATTGCTGCGAGTTGTGTGGGTGATGGAGTGGATATGCTGTCGTCTGATGATGGGATGGAGTACAAGTTATGTGGGTGGGGCATGAAGCTCTGCGGTTCTGAGTAGGAGAGGTTGATGGCATCAGCTAGTCTTCTGAAAGGCGAGAGAAGGCCCTGTAGACAGAGCGCTCCTTGTCCATATTGTTGCCCAATCTTGCCTTCGTTTGCAGGTAAAAAAGGTCTCAAAATGATTTCAAGCTTCCATTTGCATTCTTGGACCACCACAGGGCACTGCCAAAGCAGTTAGGATTAGTCTGGCCTTGAGTACTGGGGATACGCAAAATAATGGTGTAAACAAAATAGAAGTTGATAATCTCTTTTACATAAAAAAAATCCAAAGATTGGCAGCCCGTGGCTGGTAAGGAGGCTACAGAAAATGCCGTGCTTTAAGGAAACAACCATGAGTGCACCAGCTGTCAGCAAACCTAGATTGGAATGCCAGCTTCAGCTGTGTGGCACTGGGGACCCGGCCTCTCGGGACATCCGTATTAGCCTAGTTTCTGTAGAGAAATGGAACCGGTAGAGGATGTGTGTGCAAAGTGATTCATTACAAGGAATTGGTTCTCAGTTATGGGTGATGAGAAGTCCCGAGATCTGTGTGGTTAGCAAGCCTGAGATCCAGGAGAGCCGATAGCGCAAGTTCCTGTCCAAGTCCAAGTCTGACATCCCAGCCAAAACACCTTCACACAGGGTGGGGGTGGGGGACGAATTCGGCCTTCCTCCAGGTTTCTGGTTTGGCTCTGCCATGTGAGGATTGGGAGAGGCCGACTCATTGTGGGGAGGGCAACCTGCTCTTCTCATTCAGACATGCCCCTCATCCAGGGTCATCCCCACAGGCACGCTCAGATGATCTGACTAAGCATCTGGGCACCCTGTGGCCCAAGGAAACTGACTCACAGAGTTGACAGTCACAGCGTCCGCCAAGCAGCCCAGCTGCTAGCACAGCCCTACGGCTCTGTGGCTGCGTCTGTCTTCCCACAGTTCCCTCTTCCTGCAATATGGAGGTCATGGTAATACCTAATTCTTAGAGATCATGTGAAAAGTCAGTGTGTGTGCATCCAACAGATTATTTTTAATCTTTATTTTCACCTACTTGAAAAAGCCAAAAAGAGAGAGACAGACAGACAGACAGAGAGACAGAGATCTCGCATTGACTGATTCACTTCTCAAATGCCCACAACAGCTAAGGCTAGGCCAGGCCAAAACCAGGAGCCAGTAACTCACTGCATCTTGGTCTCCCTTGTGGGTGTCAGGAGCCCAAGCGTTCACACCAACAAATGTTTTTTGAATGACTACTATGCCAAACACTGTTGGATATACCCGGGACATAGAAGAGAACAAACCAGGAACTTTCTGAGGGCATTTATGTTCTAGTGAGGTGACCAAGGGTAAAAATAATAAACTGGTGATGGGCAAATTAAGTGCTAATAGGAAAAATAAAGGTGAGTTAATAAAGCACTCAGAACAGTGCCTCAGCATAGTAAATGCTTGATAAATGTTAGTAGTTAGTGTCATCCTCATCTACAATAGAATGGGAGAGTGAGTGTATGGTAACAGCTCTTCACCTTGCAGAGTAGATGTGGAGATTAGGGGTGGCATTGACGGTAATGACAGGTGGACTTCACACACGGGAGCCAGGAGGAGCATCCCTTAACTGACTCAATTTTCAGACTTTGAAATATTTACATAGACTTTACCAGTTGAGCATCCCAAATCCAAAACTTTTTCAGC